GGAATTTCCTGTCGATCCTTATTTATAGGTCATAGAGTAAAATGATGAGCAATACCATGAGACTTGGCTTTATATATTATATAAAAATTATATTCAGCTGGGCATAGCATTAGCTGGCAAACCTTACATCGTAGCCCAAGATAAAACATTTGCTTACCTCTCTTCTGGTTCAGTTTACAATATCGCTCACATCTGTCTCTTTACATTCATATACCTTAAGTGTTTCCCCATGTTTCTCATCTCCTAATTAGTGGCCCTTTTCCTCCTATCATGTTACTGCTGGTGGTACTGCTGGATATTCCTATGCTTTGCCTCATCTGGTCCCTCCCTGTGATCCTATAGACAGTTGCCAGCACATTCCTTGCCAGTGTTCTCCATTTGGCATGAGGCAAACCTACTGCATAGTCACATCCCCTATAATGTTGCTTTAAACATATCTTCAAACTAACTGCCCTTTCTTTTCCTCCCACTCTGTCTTTAGTTTCATTAAGTTATCCTTCTGTTTAAAAAATCCTTCACTTTTCTCTAATGTCATATCTGTTCGAGTTCAATACACTCTTCAAGGCTGAACTCTGATGCCATCTAAAAAACAGCGTTTTCTAAAATGCCTTTCTGGTTTCTCCCTTTGTTAAAATACCATACTGAATTCTTCTCTCGTATATCTTTTATATTTTGTTTTATAACTTATTCGTTTTTGTCTTAAAACTTCCACTAGATCAGTGAGCCTTACCCTTTCTGAATTACAGACCCTATTGAGAACCTGAAGAAATCTCACTCCTCTCAAACAATGCACATGAACACTCTAAATAGGAATTTGGGGTTAAGTCAGAAATCTGTCTGGAATATGCACTCTGTAGAATTAAGTTGAATAACACCTGTCTATTCAATTAGCTTTCTGAAATGTCTAGGACCTTCCATGACTTTTAGACAGATACTACAAATTCTTTGACTTAGGACAGAGTCATCCATTTTATACCTAAGGTAGACATGTAAAATATTAAATGGGAGCTATGAGAGTAAGTGCTCTCATGGAAAGACAGCACTGCCGCTCTCAGTAGTGACTGCAGACCCAGCTCAGCCTCAGTGGGGCAGGATCCAGAGCTGGATCCCGAGAAGGAGGAATACACTGTGGAGTTCCTTGGTCTACAGTTATAAACAATAAGATACCTGTGGGTTCCCTGTTCCTGATTTTAAGGATACATCTGATTTTAAGGATATACATATTCTTTCTCCATGTTTAAACCATTGAAGAAATACCCTTTGGCACCTGTCATACCACATCAAAAACATTTCTAGGTGTGATTTGGGTTACAGCAATTTAAAATTTATGGTTATTTTTTATGTTTAGTTTTAAGCAAGTGCCAAACAATTAAGGAGCTATGCTGTAGTTGAAAATGATGTATTTGGATACAAAAGACCTTGTTTCAGGTCCTAGCTTTGTCATTGCTGGTTGTGTGATTTGGGCAAACCATTTTATCTTTGTTCTCAGTTTGTTCACCTGTGAAATGCAAATACAACCAGAATATTTTTAGAACCTGGAAATGCTAATACCTTTTTCACAGGATTATAGGTTTAATTTTGAAAATCATTTTTACAAAGGCAGAGAGGTAAGAAAGTAAAGGGTCAGTTTGGCTAAAACAAAGGGTACATGAAAACAAATATTTAGAGATAAAAGTGAAAAAAGGAGGTCTGTAGCCTTGTGTTTATGGACCTGACTCTATTGTTGCAAAGGAAATCAAATGAGAACATTCCCCCTTCGTGTTAGAGAGGGTGGAGTGCCCAGAAATTAAACTCATGACTCTTGGCTCCCCCATCATGTTTCTTTCAAGGTTTGCCTTTTACAACTGAGTAACTTGAGCTGGACTGGAAGGAGAAAGAGAAGCAAAGCATATGTGGTGATCAAAAATACAGTTGACCCTTGAACAAGGGTTTAAAGTGCGTAGATTCTCTTATTCACAGATTTTATTTAACCAACTGTGGATCGAAAGCAGTTTTTCACATTCCCAACGGCAGACTGAAAATACAGTTTTCAGTCTGCAATTGGTGGAATTAAGATTGCTAAGGGCCAGCTGTAGAGTCAAAAGCTATACTCAGATTTCAAGTAAGTTGTGGTGGGTGCCCTTAACCCCTTTGTTGTTCAAGGGTCAACTACATACCAGGAAGGGAGTAGTTTAAGGAACATATTTTCTGAGGCCATATAATAAACTGCATGCTGGAAGACAAAGTGGGGTGGGGTCCAGGAGAACTAATAAAAATGCCCAGTTTTGTACTGAGGAAGTTAGAAATTTTTCTCTGCAAATATTTAGATAATTATTCCATTTACAAATGGTGAATCTTTATTCATTGAATAATGTATAGAATTAGCATGTTTGTTTTCAATCTGAATTATTCTGTCATTTTTGTTGCTGAAAATAATTTTGCATGTTATAAGTTTTTTCACCTGGAGCTGTTACTGTCTGCTGCCAAGATTCTGGTGCAGAAGCAAGATAAAAGGGTCCTCACGCTTTCTTTCTGTCTGACTGTGACAGCCAAGATTGAATGAGGAAATATAATGGAGAAACATGGAGTTTTTACAGCTCAGAAATTACCTTGTAAACAGCTGAAGAGTATGTTTTACTCCAAAGAAGAATCTAAAATACAAATTTACAAGAGGGGGAAAAAAGTTTTTCAGGCTCTAAAAACTGTTACAAAATTAATATGATGACATGGTAGTGTTTCATCCTTTAAGCCTGCTAATGTTTCTTTTCCAGTGCAAAGAGAATGGTGCTTTTACTGTGCTTGTTGACAACTATGTGAGAGAGGAAGAAGGCACTGGGGTTGTACACCAAGCTCCTTACTTTGGTGCTGTGAGTAGTATAAATTTATAAGAAGTAAATGTCCGTGGCCACTGTGTGTGTGTGTACATGTGTACGCATGTGCGTGCACGTGTGTGTGTCTCACTGCTCTTGCTTAAGCCATGGGGTCAACCTCTTTTCAGGCTCATTGCCCTCAAAGATTGCTTATAAAACTTGTATCTGCAATTTCTTTTCACCCTGAGCTGGTTTCTGAAAATGGTGGGCTAAATTCTATGTGTTACTAGGTGTTTAGTCTTTCTAAAAGGTGTGCTATATTTTCATTCATTCATAATTTATGTACATTACACTTTTGTTCTTTATGATATGCGATTCTATGAGTTTTGGCAATAGCATAGAGTCATGCAGTCACAACCATCAAAATGCAAAAAGGTTCCCTCACTGCAGCAGTGTTGACTATATACTGCATGATCAGAGGGAGAATTTTGACCTCTTCTCAAAGCTGTATGGTATGGTTAATTTTCACTTTTGCCCAGAGCAATTTTTTTTTTAATGTAATATTTTTAATGTAATTTGTATGTGAATAAAATAGAAGAGTATTAAGGTCATTAATGAGTATTAAGAGGATTAAGGGGATGCTTTTAGAGTAAACCAGCAATAACCATCAGTCCCTGGATGAGTTACTTGCCATGTCTGGATTTCCTTTTCCTCCTCTGTAATGTTATTATTGCCTGCTTGTCTGAAAACCTGCTTGAATTAAGTGGAATCTTCAGTAGAGAGTGTTTAACACAGTGCTTGACGCTGTAAGAGTGTACACAGTTGCTGCTGCCAGTGTAATGTCTGCTGAGGACCTAGACTCCTCTCAGCTTGATCATTTTGTCAGCGATAGGGATTGCAAGCTAGTCTTTCCCTTGGTCATTTTGTTTCCATACTTCAGGGATTTTATTATGGAAATCTTTAATACAGAAAAGTAAAGAAAATATTAAAATAATTTCTGTGTTTACATCATCCAACTGCATGAGTTATCAGTAGTTTGGGAATTCCATTTTATCTATCTTGTTCCTTCCCCTTTTCCTGTGCCTTTATTTTGACTGAAGGGATTTGAAGCAAATCCTCAACATCCTATCTTTCATCTGCAAATACTTCCGTGCACATCCCCAATTGCTAAGGACTTTTATTTTTAATATAACCACCATGCCATTGTTAAACCCAATAAAATTAATAATTTCTTAATATTGCCTAATACTTGGTCAATATTCAAATTGTGTAGAAGCAATCTTGATAATACTGTTTACTGAGTTTTAGGAACTAGTCATATTTCAGTTATTCATAACAGTTTTAGACTCAACTGATATGGTTGCTCTGCTGATAACTAAATAATAAAAAGATAACTTCATGATTTTTTGAAATGTGAGTAATTTGTCATTTACTATAGTAATACCTTATATATCTGTCCTGAATGCCCTGCAGGTTAATGTTATAGATCAGATCTTTAAACTGCAACTTTTAACACCATTTGGTAGAGATTTTCTAAAAGACCTCCTATGTGCCATCTTTGCCAGGCGATACGCTATGTGATCTATCTACAGAGTCTATACTTCTGCATGACGTGTTGCACATCAACAGTCATTCTGGCTCCATTCAGGAATGCTTCTCTTAGCTAGTTGAAGTCGGTAGAGCTGTTTGTTCTCCACTAAATAATTCAAATCGCTCAGCTTCGGAGCTTTTCCTGTCTGTCACACAGATGCTTTTTGGGTCTTCCTTAATGGCCAGGCTGTCACTCCCCTTGCTGTTAGCACGCCCACGTGTTGTATCACACCAGGCAGCCCTTCAGCACAGTGAGAGTTAAACACAGGCCCAGGTGGAAGCATATTTGCTTTGTATCTTGTCTTGGAGTCAAACCAGAATGTGGTTTCAATATTTAGCATAAGACGATCCCTTTCATTTTTGATTTGGACAGCATGGCACAGTGGTGAAGACTGTGGACTCCAGAGACAGGTTGTTTGGTTTTGAATGTGAGTGTTGCCACTTTCCAGCTGAGTTATTTCTACGTGCTGCCATTTCCTCATCTGTAAAATGGGAATAGTTGCTGGGTTTTGCAGGGGGAACACATCGTTAAAATCTAGTGCACCAGTTAGCCTTCCTTGCAGCATCATTGTGAAGTTTGACCACTGTCTGACATAGCATTTTATATATTTACTCTAATTATTAACGCTACTCAAAATATCTTCCTGAAGTACTGTGATGTAATCTAGGTAAGCTTTGCTACCTAGAGCCCAGGTCACTTCTTTATAAAGTGAATACTACAGATTTAGCATCTTTCAGGTGCTTCTTGACAGGATGCAAATCCATATGCACATCAGGTCATGCCTTATACCTTTATGTGGTTCTGCTTTGTGTATACATGTATGTCCATACACACTGCTATTATAAATCAAATTTGATTTTGTTTTAACATATTCATGTGTGTCATTTCCCTTAATGGATACTCTGATACATATAAAGGTCTGTGAAATAATGGCTGGGAAGACTGGGCTAGATGATCTAATACCCTGTCTACCTGTAAGACTCTGCTGTTCTCTGAATGGTCTTTGAATTAACTTCAATTGAGAAAATAATTACAGCTGACTACATTTATTCATCAGAATACTGAAAAATTCTCCTGTAAATCTACCACCTCATACTCCTCTCTTGCCGCACCCTCATTTAAACTGTTTTATTCTTTCTTCCCCCGCTCCTTCTCTTTTTTCCCAGGATGATTATCGGGTCTGTATGGATTACAACATCATTCAGAAAGACTCTGTCTCTGTTTGCCCTGTGGATGCTTCAGGCCGTTTTACAGCAGAAGTGACAGATTTCATGGGACAGTATGTGAAGGTCCGTGACTGTATGACATAGAAAGGTGTCAGTTTCATCATACTTTTTTCATTAATCAGTTTTTATCAAATAGCTTCCACATCTGGGATTTTTTTTTCCAGGAATTTATTTTTGTTTTGTGTCAGCACTTAAAATCAGGAAAGATAGATATTATCAGCTATATTCTGAGGGTCTAGTATCTTCAAGGGAAACCTGCCAGAGTTTCAAGCATAGGAATTAGAAAAACTAGGCTCTTATTTGTGACTCATGAAGCAACTTTGTGATCTTGGGATAATCATTGCTGATTGAAAACTTCACTTTTGAATGATATGGAATATATTTAACAAGTATTCAAGTTATACAGTGGCTAAAATATGGACCAAGTATTTTTATAGTACATTTGTTATTTGTGCTTTTACTCATAGTAAAGGTATCCAAATATCATATTTTAGTAATATACTTAATTATATTGTGTTACCAAGTATTGTAGGGTATTTTAATGGCTAGATTTTAATTTTTTTAACAGGATGCTGACAAAAATATCATCAGGACCCTAAAGGAACAAGGCCGACTTCTCATTGCCAGCACCGTCACTCACAGCTACCCTTTCTGCTGGAGGTGAGAAGAAGTAAAGACTGTGTTGTAGCTAGAGCTTTAGATTTGTAAATACTCTTAATATATACGCCTGTTCCATTAATTTATGGTTCCCATCTCATTCGTATTTCCTTAGAGTTAGTGTTTGGAAACTGCCTTCTTGTTTCAAGGAGAATTTTCTAAGTGCATTACAGTTATTTCTTTCCTCAGAAGTTGTGTGAGAAATATAGGTATAGACTGTAAATAAAAAATCCATTTCAATCTCCTGCTATACAGAGAACAACCCAGTTTTTCTCTACTGTTTTTTGTCTACTACTCATATAAAACACTTCATATATGACACTTTTGGTCACCAAAATTATAGAGGTTTTTCTCCACACCAAACAATTCTCTGCCACACCTGTTGAATGTCCTGCAATTCAATTCAGTTCTAAACTGTCTACCCAGAGATAGCACCAGACCCCACAGATTAAAGGCTCAATTCC